CAGAGTCCCATGTGCTTTTCACTCAGTTTTCCCCAATGATGACATCTTATAAAGCTGTAGCGCAACATAAAAAACATGACATTGACATTGCTATATTAACATAGAGGAGAACGTGTCGCTGTGGGTGGGAGGTTGAGGGTAAGGAGGAGCCATGGTGGCCCAAGGTATGTGAGAGAAACCAAGCAAGATAAAAGGAGTGTTCATCGAGGGTGAAGAGCCACCCACCAGGGAAGTCAGACCCTGAGCTTGCAGAGAAACACCTTTATGGATGCTTACTTCACTGTGATCGCTAAACACACTGCTATGGACTGAATGTTTGTGTGGCCCCCAAATTTGTATGTTGAAGCCCTAACCACCAGTTGGGCTGCATTTGGAGATGGGACCTCTAAGGAAGTAATTGAGGTTAAATGAAGTAATAAGGGTGGGGTTCTGGTCCCATAGGATTAGTGTCCTTATAAGAAGAGACATCAGACATCTTGCTCACGTTTTCTTTGTGCATATACACTGAGGAAAGGCCATGTGAGCACACAACAAGCAGGCAGCTGTCTGCAAGCCACAAAGAGAGCCTTCTCCAGAAACTGAATTAGTGGGGACCTTGATCTTAGACTTCTAGCCTCTAGAACTGTGAGAAACTAAATTAAGTCACCCAGTCTGTGGTATTTTGTTATGGCATTCTGAGCAGACTAAGTAAGGCACATATTCTATGACTTCAGTCCTTGAAATATGTTGAGTCCTAAATATTTATAGCTAAAGAGACACTGATAAATCCAGAAGGATAGTAAGTAACTGTTTCTGGAGGGTAACTGTTATAGCCATGTTAAAATGAAGTAGATTTTAGGTCTAAGATAAGAATTTTATTAATGAGTGTTAATGTCAGTAATTCATTTCTTTATTGACAGTCATTTTATATTCACAGGAATGTGAATTGGACCCTTGTTGTGAAGGAAGTTCTTGTAAGCTTAAATCATTTGCTGAATGTGCATATGGCGACTGTTGTAAAGACTGTTGGGTAAGGAATTCCTCCCAGTTAGGGACAAAAATATGGAAAAAGAAAGGTCTGTGTATATCAAAATTTGTTTTCTGTAATCTCTAGGGGAGCACTATTTTTATTTTATAATTGTGGGAAAAATTTTATGCCACTTGTTTGTAATTTTGAAGCACATTCTTTTATGATAAATGATCTACTGAGATTTTTTTTTCCTAAGTGGAAACATTTTCCCCCTGATTTTTAGAGTAATATAAGCTTTTTAGAAATAATTCATCAATACCAAAGTATAGAAAATAGCAAATGAAAGACCTGCTATCATTTTACACTCCTCAGGTAGCCATTTTTGATGATTTGTTGTTAACCTAGTCACTTTTTTCTATACAAATGTGAGTGCGTATGTGTGTTTGTAAGTGGGTAAACACAGATACACATATTTTTACTACCTACTTTTTTTCAGTCAGATACTATAGACTTTTTTCATTTACATAGTTCTATATAGTTAGTATTACTTTGTATGGTTGTACCATAATTTATTTATGTAGTCAACTAATGAGGGACATTTAGATTGCTTCCAATTATTGCTTATAAAAGAAATCACTGGGGCAGAATATGCATATTAAAATTTTTGATACACATTTTATGTATCTTCCACAAATGTGCCAGTCTGTATGTATTTCTACTAACAGTGTTATCAAATATTTGTTTCCTTATGCCAACATTTGTTACTAGCAAGGTCTATAATTCTAGTTAGTTCAATAGGTGTAAAGTATTTTTGTATTTTTATTTAATTTGCATTTCTTTTGGTTACACAGTGAGGTTATGCTTTTTCATTTTCCATATCTACAACTTACATGAATTGCCTATAATTGGCTTTTGTTCGTTTTTCTACTAGGTTATTCAATCTTTTGGTATTGTTAGAACCCTTTATAGATATAAATACTGTGGTTTCAAATTTGATTAATTTGTGCAAATTGTTTTGCTATTCCTGTTTAATTTGAATCTCATTTCCTTAGTTCCTTCCAGGAGGTACTTTATGCCGAGGAAAAACCAATGAATGTGATGTTCCAGAGTATTGCAATGGTTCTTCTCAGTTCTGTCAGCCAGATGTTTTTATTCAGAATGGATATCCTTGCCAGAATAACAAAGCCTATTGTTACAATGGCATGTGCCAATATTATGACGCTCAGTGTCAAGTCATCTTTGGCTCAAGTAAGATATTATTATTTCTAATTGATAACTTTGATTGATTTGTTTTTGATTTAGATTTTTTAGAAAAGGAAGGAAAACATTATTGATAAAGCTGAGCTGTCATTTCCCATCACATCTCCCTTCTTCTCCCATCTGCCTTCTCATCCAGAGGCAATGATGGTCATGAATTTAATATGTCCAAATTCAGTTGCTGTTTCTTGCTTTTACTCTGTCTATATCCTTTGTGTATAAAGTACATACACATACATATACAGTAACATTTTTTAGTTTTGATAATACAGAGTTTTGTGCATGGATCTGCTGTTTGCATTGATCACTCAGAAAGTTCTTGAGATCCATCTATATTGATTTGTTATATCATAGTATGTTAGAGTATTCCATTAGATAAAGGTAGTGTGATTTAGTTGTACATTCTCTTATTGATAGATATTTAGGATGTTTTTAATTTTTTCTTTATAAAATTTTGATTTTTATAAAAGGCATACATGTAAAGAGCCAAATTATTGTGTAATGTATTATTGTTAATATGAAAAAATAAGGCCTATTCCCACCCAGTATCCTCATCTGTTAAGGCAACCATTTTTAGCTGATTTTTTTTGTTACTTGCTTCAGGTGTTTACATAATCTCTTGGTAATGCTACTTTTTAACTCTTTTTGATTCTAGGCAGTGTTGACTGTGTATTGTGGAATAGCCATGTTAATGCTATTCACAACTGTACTATGTAGTACATTACAATTACTTTCCTGCCGTTTATTTTCTGTAGAGTTGATAATTCTCTCTCTCTCCGATTTGGTTAGTTTTCTATGTACTTACTATTAATTGAACTGCAAATTGTTAATGAGTGGCCTGATCTTGCCCTGAAATGATTAGAGGCATCGAGATAGTCTACTAATTTCAATTTGTTTGAAGAAGTCTGAATAGGAGGCTCCTGTTTCTCTTCACTCTTGACTGGTTGGCCTCTGTATTAGGGTTCTCTAGAGAAACAGTCAATAGGATGTACATATATATGTGTGTGTATATATATAGTTATGTACCCCATAATGATGTTTTGGTCAACTGTGGGCCTCTTATGCAATGGTGGTCTCATAAGATTATAATACTGTATTTTTACTGTACCTTTTCTATGTTTAAATAAGTTTAGATACACAAATACTTGCCATTGTGTTACTGTTGCCTGAAGTATTCAAGATTTGTAACCTAGGAATAATAGGCTATACCATATAGTGTAGTTGTATAGTAAGCTATACCATTTAGGTTTGTGTAAGTACATTCTGTGGTGTTTGCACAATGACAAAATCACCTAATAATGCATTTTTTAGATTGTATCCCTGTCATTAAGTGATGCATGACTATATGTAAAATATTGAGATTTATTATATGAATCTAATATATACATGCATCTATATTTATTATATGAATTGGCTCATGTTATTATGGATGCTGATAAGCACCAGATCTATGGGAAGAACTGGCAAGCTGGAGACCCAGGAGAGATGATGGTTTAGTTCCAGTCTGAGTTTAAAGGCCTTAAAACCAGTAGAGCTGATGGAGTATTTCCATTTGGAAGGTTTGCAGGCTCATGACCCAGGAAGAGCTGGTGTTTCAGTTCAATTCCAAAGGCAGGAAAAAAGCTGATGTCCCAGTCCGAAGGCCCTCAGAAAGGATTTTCTCTCACTTCAAGGAGGGTTAGCCTTTTTGCTCTTTGCAGGTGCATGAGGCCCGCCACACTAGGGAGGGCAAACTGCTTTACTCAGTGTACCCATTTAAATGTTAATCTCATTCAAAATCACCATTATAGACATACCCAGAATTATGTTTGATTAAATATCTGGGCATTCCATGGCTCACTTAAATTCACACATAAAATTAACCTCAATCAAGAGTCTATCCCTTGTTGACCTAAAACTCATAGGTACCTCCTTAAACCAAGCCACCTCCAAATGAAGACCTTGTTAAGGTCATAATTCCACTCAGCGTGATACAACTATCCTGCATACAACTGAAAACTCACTAACCTCTTCCCCAGAAAAGCAGGTAAAGTCTTTGAGTGATTTTTACTCTTTTTCTTGATACCCTACAACTTAAATACTATGATGTGAAGTTAATAATACTTAAATACTGTGACATAAAGCAAATACGTCTTATATTACGTGGTTATGTGATAAGAGAAGGAAGAAAACAAGGGTATTTTATTACAAATATAAGAAAATAAAGAAGAAAAAGTAATGACAATTATGGTTCTCATTTCTGTAAGAAGTCAGGTGGTTATAGCTTGTATTTATAACTACCGGTTTCATATTCTACTCCCCATTCTGTCTTCCCTATATTGTCAGTAAGTCCCTCAGCTGGACATGATTCTTCACCTAATGGGGTGACCCAAACGTTCATTCCTGAAGGGTCTGGGCTGTTAGTTTTACCTAGATCAAGTTTTTGTAGTTTTTCCTTGCCCTTAGTCACAGTGCCTGGTAATATTAATAATAAGAGACGTCCTAAGGAATCTCCTGTATTCCAGACATTACTCTTCCTTACCTCCCTTGTAGAGCAGTAGTCTAATTTCCCCTGGGTAGTCAGGATCAGTCCCGACCCAGCAGAGTAACTCCATTCTTAGTCTGTCGATTCAGAGCTGTGCGGAGCCCAGTGTGGGTGGGCAGCTGGTTTAACTTCCAGCTCAGTGGAATCATGTGGTGGCTTCTGGTGGAAGAATTTCTCCCTTTGGAACTAAGACCTTTAGGTCAGAAAAGCATAAAGTTGTGGGAACAGGAAACAAAGTTTTGCTAGCGTGTCACTATGGGTAATAGTAACTGGTGCCACTTGACACCTGGACACGTGAATCCAGGATAACAACATCATATGTTGGGTGCTGATTCAGAGCACATAAGAGCCTTTTGGAGAGCCTTGCCCTAGCTCTGCAAGGTATTGCCACCCAGCTGGCATTGTAACTGAGTCTCCAAAAGGCATTTTCACCATTCTGTCAAGTCAGCTGCTTCAGGACGGTGGGAACATGGCAAGACAGTGAATTCCATGTGCATGGGCCCATTGCCTCACTTCATTTGTTGTGAAGTGAGTTCCTTGGTCAGAAGTAATGTTGTGTGGAATTACTATGATGGTACATAAAGAATTTCATAAGTTCGTGGAAGGTAGTTTTGGCAGAACCATTGTATGCAGGGCTGGCAAATCTATATCTGGGGTAAGTAAGTATTCCAGTAAGAACAAAACATTGCCTATTCCATGATGGAAAGAAAACAATGTAATCAACTGGCCACCAGGTAACTAGCTGATTATTCCAGGGAGTGGTGCCATACTGGGGATTGAGTGTTGGTTTCTGCTGCCACAAAATTGGGCACTTAGCAGTGGCTTTAGCCAGGTCAGCTGTTGAATACAAGTCCCTGATGCTGAGACCAGCATAACCTGCAACCCTGCCACTATGGGTACTTGGTTTATGAGCCCACTGGATGATGATGAGTGGCTGGGGAAAAAGGCTGACTGCAATCCACAGAATGAGTCATCCACTTGATTATTACAGTTCTCCTCTGCTGAGGTCACTCTTTGGTGATCATTCACATGGGACACAAATAACTTCACCATATAGCCAAACCATTGGTATATATAGCCCATAAATTGGTATATAATCACGTCTGGCTATTTTTCCTTCCAAGAAAAATGAACAACCCGGTGCCCATCAGGGATGTCCCAGACGGGGGCTCTAGTGCTACTGGTGTATCCATTAGGTTCTGCATATGGTGCAGAACCATCTGTAAACAATGACCCAGTCTTCTTTTCTACTGTTAACTGATGGTCATAGGCACTGGCTAGGAGAGAGAATGTAGTGTAGCAGCAGTGGGGACCATGGGTCTTTGGGCTACTTCTTCATGTGATTTTCTTGTGCCTTTGGAGCTTGATTTGGCCTAATTGCATATATCCCACTTCCATTTCATGATGGAGTGCTGCTGCACATGCCCAGTTTTATAGCTGCATGGGTCAGATAACACCCAGTGTGTGATGGGTAGCTCAAGTTGAATGGTAAACTTGGTGGCCCCAAACTCGGTGGTTAAATGTTCAGTCTCTGCTTAAAGGCCCAGTAGCAGGCCAAGGGCCACTCTCAAAAGGAGAGTAGTTGTTCACAGAGGATCTCAGGGCTTTGCTCCCAAATCCTAAAGGCGTGCCCTACGATTCACCTATAGGGAACTGTCAAAGGCTCCAAACGGTATTCCTAGCAGCCACTGCCACTTCAGGTACTATTTGATTTGTTAGACCAAGTGGCCTAAGTGGCAGAACATCTTGCATGACAGCCTGGACCTGTTGCAGAGCCTCCTCCTCCTCCTATTCAAGGCCCCACTCAAAGCTAGCGGCTTTTTGGGCTGGAGTGGTATATGTTGCCTTCAAAATCCAAAGAGGACCACTAGGCATTGTGCCACTCTTTTTGTTGTGGGGGTGGCCAGATACAATTTCTCCTTCACCTTAGAAGGGATATTTTCAGATGTTTCATACCACTGGACCTCCAGGTAGAAGGCCCCTGAGGTTTTTTTTGTTTTTTTTTTCGAGACGGAGTCTCCCTCTGTCACCTGGGCTAGAGTTCTGTGGCGTCAGCCTAGCTCACAGAAACCTCAAACTCCTGGGCTCAAGCAATCCTCCTGCCTTGGCCTCCCTAGAGTGCTAGGATTACAGACATAAGCCACTGCACCCGGCTGCCCCTGAATTTTTGTCAGATTTATTTTCTACCCTCTCTCATGCAAATGTCTTATTAATGGCAAGAGTAGTTGCTACTTCTTGCTCTCTGGGTCCATTGAACATAATATCTTCAATGTAATGGACCAGTGTGTTTTTTTGTGGAGGGGAAAGGCAATTAAGATCCCTCAGACTAAATTATGACATAGTACTGGAGGGTTGATATACCCTTGCAGGAGGATAGTGAAAGTGTATTGCTGGCCTTGCCAGATGAAAGTAACCTGCTTCTGACAGGCTTTGTGGACAGGTATGGCAAAAAAGGCATTTGCCAGAT